TTATTTTTATCTGAGATAACTGGATACCTTTATTGCTTAAGCCACCATTAATGAAGTTTCCTGTTGTAGCTAAACACTTACCAACGAATGTACTATTGACTATATACCATTGACTACCTAAGGGTGTTCCTAGAATTTCATGTTGAACATAGTTACCAAAGTAAATAATCTAGGACCAAACATAGTGTACGAGCCAATGTTGTTTACAAGAAGACACAATATATGAAAGGCAGCAGAATTAAGCATAAAATGCTCTAGGTCAAAGGTTGATGAACTAGGATCCTCTGAGCAGCTGTTCGTTCTCTTAAAGTTTTATTGGAACACAGCTACACCCGTTTGTTTATGAACTTTATATCTGCAAAACTTAAAATATTTACCATCTGACCATTTACAGGAAAGGTCTGCCTCAAATTTACCTATCTGCTATAGGTAAATTCCTATCATGCTGTTAAAAAGGTATGATCATTTCCTTAAATAGATAAAGAAGCGTACACAAAGAAGTGATCTTGTTTTCAAAAGATTTTTTTGCACTAATTTATGGAATCGATTCTACATATGTTGATAGTACATGGAAACAGCAATATGCCAAGCCCCTTCTCCCCTTCATCCCAAACTCGATACAGGGGAAATAAGAATGCTCGCAGGATAATTATGAAACAGTAGATGACAGTATAGTTATGTGAAGTCACCTTATTCAGAGGGACTAGCTCCCAGGCTGAGTCTCAACTATGTCACATTCAATGAAAGGACTGCCCACCAAGAGCAGAGGGGGTGGGAGTTGTAATTTAGTAGAAGCATCTGAAAGGAAGTATTACAACAGCAAATTAAAGTCTCTTAATAGGACTTAGAGGAGAGGATGTTCTAGTTCACAAACAAGAGGGAATCTAGTCCATGATTAGGTATTTCCATATAATGAAGGCAAATGACACCAGCTATCAGGGCAATCCACTGAACTACTCTTGGTCACTATGGTCACTAAACAACTTCTATTACTTAGCTTTTCAGGTAGATTTCCTACAGAAGAGAATGTGCTTCTGAAGGAAAATGAGTAACTAGTCTTCTCGAGTTATAGTTTCTACTGCCAATTAACACATTGACTTTCCACTTTTAGTTTGGTGCATCTGTCTGTAGTATTCAGCCCTGGACCCAAGTCCACAAGGTTTCTGGGTTTGCAAGCCTGAGGGTCAGATTCTGGAATTCATCATGAAGGAGGTAATTGCCTCAAATACCCAAACAATTAATTCAAATTAGAACTGGAATTTTTACTGAACTAGATTAAAACTGGATATGAAGTATATATTTTTCAGCTCAAGCCCACCACAGTTTGGCTTTAAGTGTTTTGAAAATGCATGAACTTAACAATTTAACATTAAAAGCTATGAACAAACCTTGAATGTCAAATTACTTTTTCAGATAAAAGATGATATGAAGAAATATACCCTTTATTAAATAAACCAAAGTAATTTGACAATTGCCCTTTTCCCTCTCAGCACATTCTACTCGTAGAGCACATATTCCTGACCACAAATAACATTCCAGAAATGTAAACAATATACTTTTCTTTCAAAAGATAAGCCATTACTGGATGCATTAACAAGATACACAAAGAGCAATTTTTAGCAGTCATTTAAGTGAAACTTGATTTAGAGGTCAAGTTTAGAAAAGGTGTACTAAAGGTCCTTTTGGTTGCTTAATATAGTCTTAAGAGAAAACCCATTGTCCTGCTCTGAGGAGTGACACAAGAATAGTAATGTTATGAGAATAATGAGAAATATGCTTTTAATAAGAAAAACAAACAAAAAAAGGCCAGACAAGTTCTTTACAGTTATCAGCTTTGAAGAACTCTCTTCCAATCTGTTGGCAGGAAGAGTAATCATTACTCTATGTGATTTGCATCCTCTCATCTTACCTGGTATCCACGTTTCTAAAGAAGCTGCTTATTGCCTCATCATAAATTCCTTTCTAAAAAGAAAGAACATATTGACAGCATTTCATTAAGTTTTGCCTCTTTCCCAAAGGAAGTCCTTGCCATTTAATAACCCCACAATACAGTAACAGCTGGAGCCTGACGATGACAAGAAAAAGCAAGTTATCACAGGGTGCTCAGACCCAGTCTTCCAATCCATAGAAGACAAAATGTCCTGAGATCTAGGAGTTCAGTTCAGGGAAGGGTGGTGAAGTCCCCGAGGACCCTAGAATCAAGAGAGCTTTCTCTGAATTCCAGGTGATCATTTTAAAAGCCAACTGGTTAAATCAGGGAATAAATAATGGCACACATGTTACCTCTTTTACATTCTTTTTTTTGGCACAGACCTCCCTCGAGGGCCCGAACCGCCTCCCAGGACCCAGACCTACATCAGAGACTCAGTCCTACATACGGGTGCAGATCATTATGCCAGGGAGCAGAAGTCCAACCCGGGGCCCAGAACTCGACCCCGGAATCCAGTCTTTTATCACAGTACAGACATCCACAGTAGTCCAGACAACAATTCCATGACCCAGACGTCCAGCCCCTGACACAGAACTCCGCCCGGGACCCAGATCTCCTCCGGTGCCGAGACTACTCTCCAGGACCCAGACCTACATTCAGGATCAGACCTCCATCCGGGTCCCAGACCTTTATGCCATGGCCCAGAAGGCAATCCCGGGGCACAGACTTCAAACGCAGAATCCAGGCTTGTATCAGGGGGCCAGATCTCCATCCGTACTCCAGAACACCAGTCCATAACCCAGAGGTCCAGCCCATGAGCCAGACCTCTCCCCAGGGCCCACACTTCCCTCTGGGGCCTGAACCTCCCTCTCAGGACCAACCTAAATTCAGGGCTCAGACCTACATTCGGGTCCCAGAACTTAATGCCAGGCCCCGGAAGTTCATTTCGGGGCCTAGACCTCGAATCCAGTATCCAGGCCTTTATCGTAGTCCAGACATCAACAGTAGTCCAGACCACCATTCCATGACGCAGACCTCACCCGAGATTCCAGACCTCCCTCCCTGGCCCGAACTGCCCTCCCAGGACCCAGACCTACATCTGGGGCTCAGACTTACATCGGGGTCCCAGATCTTCATGGCAGGGCCCAGAAGGCAATCCCGGGGCCCAGACCTCAAACCCAGATTCCAGGCTTGTATCAGGGGGCCAGATCTCCATCCATAATTCAGACCACCAGTCCATAACCCAGAGGTCCAGCCCATGAGCCAGACCTCCCCCCAGGGCCTAGATCTCCGTCTTGGGCCCAAACCGCACTCCCAGGACCCAGCCCTACATCCAGGGCTCAGACCTAGATCCGGGTCCCAGAGCTCAAACCCAGAATCCAGTCTTGTATCAGTGGGCCACATCTCCATCCTTAGTCCATACCACCAGTCCATAACCCCAGAGTTCCAGCCCAAGAACAGACCTCCCCCCAGGGTCCAGACCTCTTCCGGGGCCTGAACCGCCCTCCCAGGACCCAGACCTACATCTGGGTCCCAGATCTTCATGGCAGGGCCTAGAGGCCATCGCAGGGCGTAGACCTCAAACCCAGAATCCAGGCTTGTATCAGGGGGCCAGATCTCCATTCGAAGTCCAGAACACCAGTCCATAACCCAGAGTTCCAGACCTCGAGCCAGACCTTCCCCCAGGGCCCACCCTTCCCTCCGAGGCCCCAACTGCCCTCCCAGTACCTGGACCTCCATCCGGGGCTCAGACCTACATGCAGGTCCCAGACCTTCATGCCAGAGCCCAGAAAGCCATCCCAGGGCCCGTACCTCCAACCCAGTATCCAGTCCTTTACCCTAGCCCCGACATCCACAGTAATGCAGACCACCATTCCATGACCCAGAGATCCAGCCCCTGACCCAGACCTCCACGGGGGCTCAGACAGCCCTCCATCCCCAGACCTCTCTCCCAGGACCCAGACCTCCATCCGGGGCTCAAACCTATATCAGGGTCCCAGACCTTCATGCCAGGGCCCAGAAGGCATTCCCTGGGCCCAGACTTCAAACCCAAAACCTTGTATCAGCGGGCCAGATTTCCACCCGTAGTCCAGACCCCCAGTCCATAACACAGAGTCCAGCCCAGGAGCCAGACCTTCCCCCTGGGCCCAGACCTCCCTCAGGGCCTGAACCACCCTCCCAAGACCTGGAGCTACATCTGGGGCTCAGACCTACATCTGAATCCTAGACCTTCATTCCAGGGCCCGAAAGTCATCCCGGGTCCCGGACCCTGAACCCAGTATCCAGTCCTTTATTGTAGTCCAGACATCCAAGTAGTCGAGACCACCATTCCAAGACCCAGTTGTCCAGCCCCTGACCCAGACCTCCATCTGGGGCCCAGACACCCCTCCAGTGCCCCGACCTCTCTCCCAGAGGTCATCTGGGCATCAGACCTACATACTATCTGATTGGTATTCACCAGAATCCTGATAAAAGATGAGACCCTGATTATTAGCGGAAGGTGTTCAGTTTCGTGTAGTCTATTAGGTGTCTAACGCCAATATAGGTTTACATGCCAATTAGTTCTGCAGTTTGTTCTTTACTGACAGGATCCCATATAACGCATATCGGTCAGATACAAGCCCAATAGAGAAAACCCTGCTCCTCGGTTGGAGGAGCCTCTCTGACAGGCGCGGGGGTTCCGGGGAGGGGGGCGGCCGGTACCTGGTTGACCGCGGCGTGCTCCCTCAGCGCCAGGTCCCAAAAGCAGCAGCCGATCTGGTTTCCGCACTGGCCCACTGCGATCGGGGAGGGGAAGGAAGGAAGACAGACATTAGGCGGCCCCGCTGGGCTCCGCGCCGCCCGGGTCCTCACCCTCCCGGGGCAGCTCACCCTGAACGACCACCGACTGGGTCATCCCGCCGAGCGGCCGGTCCCGCGCCCTCAGGCACCCGCTCCGGCTTTCGAATTCCCCGCCCACCGAGGGGCAGGGCGGCCGTAAGTCACGCTGCCTCCGCCAGTCGCTGCCATGGCGGCCGTCGCGACCTTGTTGTCTAGGTTCGGGCTAAGACTTTCCGTCAGAAGGCCGCCAAGTACGCCCGCGTCCCACTGTTACCATAGCGACGGCATCTCCGGACTGCAGATCCTCGCTGCCCTGTCAACATCCGTTCGCGTTGGCAGCGCCCGAGACCCGGGTAACTGGCGGGTAGTTAGGTGAGGGAGCGGGATTTTAAACCTTGTGCCCTAAAACTGTCAGCGGGCCGTGTTTAGAGGGTGGTCGTTCAGTCGTAGGGGGTGGGTCGGATTCCGTTTTTTCAGCTTCCTCGGCGCTGTTTGCGTCTCTGTCCAACAAGCCCTTTGTTCTAATAGAAAACGAAGAATGTGAGTGAGCACCAAGAAACCTCAGACCCACAGGCGTGGCAAGATGGAACAGAAGTTCATTAACTTCTAGGCTCTCTGGAGGGTTCAAAAGAAATTAAGACATAGATCCCCAGCTCCGAGAAACTTACAATCTAATTGAAGATACACACGGAATGCTCAAGTTACTGTGACTTTAATACTGTGTAATGCTGACTATAAGTGCATTCAGTGGATGACAATGGAAATGGGTAGATAGAAGTCTGATGAAAGAGGTGAAATGGGAACATTTGATTTAGATGCAGGGTTGGGTTTATGATCTCGGTAGAAGTGAAATATATGACAAAAATAATAGGGTGGCCCAGCCGATGTGCTTCAGTGGTTGAACTTCAACTGTTGGATTCCCGATTAGGGCACATGCGGGGGCTGCAGGTTCGATCCCCAGTAGTGTAGGAGGCAGCGGAACAATGATTCTCTCTCATCTTTGATGTTTCAATCTCTCCCTTCTCTGAAATCAATAAAAATATATTTAAAAATTAATAGGATGGGAGAGGGGAAATGGAATATACTCTTGAAAGGTTCTGTTAGTATATATGAAGTGGTGTAATGTTATTGAAGGCAGACTGAAAGTTAAAATATATACTGTAAAACCTAAAGTAATCAAAACTAAACCAAAGCAAAGCAAAACACAAAGATTGCATAGCAATAAACTAGTAATGAAGATAAGATAGACTCATAGAATATACTCAGTTGTTTTAAAAGAACAGAATAACAAGAAAAACCAAAGAACTGATGACATAAATAGAATACAAATGGCAAGAGAACAGTTTTAAATTCGTTCATATTTATCACCTTAAATGTGAATAATCAAAACATTTGATTAATTAAAAGTCAGAGATCATCAAAATAGATAAAAACAGCAAAACTGAACTATATGTTCTTTATTTAAAAAGACACTTTGAATAGAAACCAAATAGGTTAAAAGTAAGTTTGGAAAAGATACATTATACTAACACTAATTAAAAAAAGTACCTATATATCTTTCAGACAAAACATATTCAGAGCAAAGAATATTACTAGGGATAAAGAAGGATATTTTATAATAAAAGTTTTTAATTCATGAAGAGGACATAACACTACTAAATATTTAAAAACCTAATGGCAGAGCTTCAAAATATATAAAGTAAAAACTGGCAGAATAGAAAGGAGAAACAGATAAATTTAGTATTATAAAATAAATAAATTTCAAGATTTGTAGAATGAAGGTAAAGTAGTGCTAGGATGAAAATTTATAAAATTCGATGCTGATGTTAAGAAGGTAGGTCTCAAGTCAATGACCTAAGCTGCCATTTTAAGACATTAGAAAAAGAAAAACAAATTAAGCCCAAATTAGACAAAAAAGTAAATACTAAAGATTGGAGTGAAAATCAAATAGAAAACAGAAAATTAATAGAGAAAAATCAGTGAAACCTATGTATGTTTCCTGAGAGATTAAAATTCTTTTGTGGACTTCCTTGCTCATAAAGTCTAAAATCTTTAACTTGGATTTATATCTCAGCATGGTTTAACTTCTACTTATCTCTCTGACCTATTTCTTAACTTTCTCTATTGTCTTTTCAGATCTTCTTTTGTCCGCTCTACTGGCAGATGACTTCTACATACGCTATTTCCTTTGTTTTCCCCCTCCCTAAGGGTCTCAATGTCTTTTCTTCCCACCCATTTCCATCTAGTTGATGCCTATTTGTCTTTTAGATTTAGGTTTGAAGTCTTAGTCCAGCACACACCCTGCCCTAACCTGTAAACTCCACTAGGACAGGCACTGTGTTTGCTTTTGTCAATATTTTATTTTCAACACTAAACACATGCCTGGCTGGTGGATTCTCAACAATTATCTGTTATATGAGTGAATGCTAATAATGGATCTATTTTCCTAGGATATGACCAGTTCAAACACCATTCCTTTTCTGAATCTCATGAATCAATATTCTGAGGATTGAAAGATCATTATTCTTGGTCTATGAGGAGAGTATTTAGAGATTTTACCATCTCCTCCCTCCCCCACCCCCATCATTTAGACTTCACTTATTCAGTTCTTTGTGAAGATCTGCTGGAAAGTCAAGTTCACTTTGTCTTCTAGAAAGTTTTATGATTAAGGCTACTGTTTGGTTTGTTTCATGGTATCACTCATGCTAAAAGAAGAAACTTGGTACAACTTGTGCCAAATAAACTAGTAAAGGTAAATTAGAGGAATTAAAAACGATTCCACAGTAGAATATCCCACATAGAGACTTTACTTTGTAGTTTAAAGATATATTGGTCCCAAAAAAGTGAAATCATGCCTCAACAATCTAATTTCAAGAACTATGCAAAGAGATGAGAGAACATGCTGATTTAATTTTTGTATCCCAGACATTGTCTTTACTATGTTAGACTTTTTTATTCCTCAAAAACAATTCTATACAAGGAATTAATACTATTTTACAGACAAACTTTTAGTGATTTGCTCAGTCTCAGAGTTAACATGGTCTTAACATTCAAACCTAATTCTGATGCCAAACCCATTATTTTTCCGCTGCCGTCTTCACTAAAAAATGTAAACTATTACAAAATTTTCCCATCCTAATGATCAGATGTTTAGGTCCTAATGACCTAACAATGGCCAGCAATTATTTCAATTTGTCTATGACACAGTCAGTTAAATAGTTTCTCTAAGCTAAAATTGTGATCATTTACTCACTGATAGCACCCTAGTAAGAAAAAAAAGGTAGAGGTAAGATTTTTGTCTAACATCAACTTAATTATGTAAAATGCCAATTTCCTATAACATAACCACCTGAAAACAGAGCAGTAGGGACTTAACATAAAATGTAGGTATTGAAAAAGATTTTCATTAAATGCAAAATCACTTGCTAACATTTAATAGTTCAGTCATCAGCCTATGAAAATTGAAAAAAAAAAGGTTAATTGAAGAGCAAAGTTCTGTCTTAAGGTTTAAACTTAATTATTACATTCAGCAAGATTACTGTTGATATGGAAATTGGGAGAGGAGAGAAGTCCAGAAGATAAATTTCAGCTTGTTGTTGGAGCTATGAATTGAGACATTTTATTCTTTAGCAGGTAGAAAGCTATGTGAAAGAATCTCTGATGTGATAATTTGTGGGTGTCACTGGGATAGTTGACTATCATTCCTCTGGAAAGATGTCATGAACAGAGGAGAACTTCAGGGTCCAGGGAACAGAATAGAGAGGACAATACAAGATGTATTCTTCCTTTCTCAACTGTCATTATTGCAATAATTTGGGAATTTCAAGGCTCTTTTAATGATACAGAAAAGTATTAGAGAGAGCTGTAAAGAACCATCCATGGTAAGCTAGAGAGAAGTTTGTAAAGGTGTAGTTTGAGGCCATTAGAGTGGGATGAGGGTATAGGTAGATAGGATTTATAATTTGTGTTATTAGTTAAGGGAAAGTCTGGAAGATAAAGATAGGGAAGAAAATGGGATATAAAGTGACAAGAATATCATGAGATTTTGTGCAGATTGACTAGAGCAGGGGTCCTCAAACTTTTTAAACAGGGGGCCAGTTCACTGTCCCTCAGACCATTGGAGGGCCGGACTATAGTTTAAAAAAAACAACTATGAACAAATTCCTATGCACACTGCACATATCTTATTTTGAAGTAAAAAAACAAAACAGGAACAAATACAATATTTGTATTTGCATGTGGCCCGCAGGCCGTAGTTTGAGGACCCCTGGATTAGATTGCCTAAAATAGGTGTATATATATATATATATATATGTTCACAGATTAAAATATTGTATATTATTAGAAAATAAACAAGTCAGTGACAATAAGAATAAACCTTCAAACAAGCTTTAGAGACACTAAATTTTTAGCTAAGTTCCATGTTGTTGGTGGAGCTATGAAATGTGATATTTTATTACTGAACAGGTAGGAAACGATGTAAAAGAATCTTCTGATGTCATAATTTCTGGGTGTCACTGGAACATTTGATCATCATTCCTTCGGCAATTCCAGGCTTCTATGGAAGGTCAGTAGAAGCAGTTGATTTATTCACCTCTACAGGAATCAGACTCAGCCTATTTTGGTAAGTCTATGTATCCTTGATCAAGTTAGCTAAAACTTAATATCTACATAAGATAGTTATACTAAACCATAGCTTTTACTAACTTGTCATTGAGCATAAACATTTTTTCCATAGTAATTGACACCCAGTACATAAAAACCATAATGTAATAATCAAATTCCTAGGCTTTATTAATTTAGATTTTTTATTACCACAATAAACATTTACTTATTAGGTATAAGAAACAGTTGTAAGACATTTTTCATTTTTCCTGTCTTTTGCTGAAGACATGCACATTTGTACAAGATAGAGTTGTTAATTACCCACTGCGTGCCAGGCAGTGGTGACACAGACAGACATGGAATGGGATAAGGTTACAATGATTAAACGAAAACACAAAATAGGGTACTGGTTCGCAACAGAAGGTGACCTCCCCCTCACCCCTCCCTTCTCCACTAGAGGACATTTGGCAATGTCTGGATGTCACAAGTTTTGGGGAGGGGTGCTATTGGCATGCAGTGGGTGGAAGCCTTGGATGCTGCAAAACATCCTACAGTGTCCAGGATAGCCTCTTCCCTGCCCAACAAAGACTATCTGGCCCCAAAGTCAATAGTGTCACAGTTGAGAGATCCTAAATTAGAGCGATAACTTCCAAAGCAGAGATAAAGAGGGCTATGAAAACTTATATTATGGAAGGCTGTTATGGAAGGCTCCTCTGAGGAAGTGAAATATAAATTCAGACAATGAATGAGTTGACTCTAACAAATAAAGGGTGGGAGCAGTGGGGTGAGAAAAAGTCCCAAACAGAGGCAACAGTAGGCAGTAAGGAGCTTATTTTAGATAGCTCTCTCTGTGTATATATGTGTGTTTGTGTGTTTTACATATATATTATACTAGTGGCCCGATGCACGAAATTTGTGGACTGGAAGGGGGGGGCACCCAGCCTGGCCTGTGCCCTGTCACAGTGCAGGAGCCCCGCAATCCATCGCCCCAAAGAGGTAGGCCCTGCCCACCCATCTGGGGCTCCTCGATGGATTGCCCCAAAGAGGTAGGCTGGAGCCCGGGGTCCTGGCTCCGCGCCATGTGGAGCCGCGGGACCCCCAGGCCTCGCTGGGCAGAGGCCTCCACCAGGCCCACCTCCGGGCCGCGAGGAGGCCTCCGGCCCCTGGCGGAGCACAAAACTAAAGAGCTTCTTCTGGGCCCGCTTCGGGCCAGGCTGCACGGA